AGCATGAACCAAGTCTTCTCCCTTCAATCTCCCTGAAGCAACGGGCGGTGGTAGCAACCTTCAAGTTCTACCTGAAACTGTGAGGTGGCCTCCCCCGTGAAGGGGAGGACAGTACTTTGAAGCATTTGAAAAGTACAATGACAACTACACTCAATATAATCAATGTTTTTAATTTCCATGACCTTCAAAATAGGGTGATATCATAATATAAATAACAATTTATATTTCTCCCTTATTATCTTCATAATAAGTTGATTCATTAATTGGTCAGCACGCGGCCCTTTCTTACTTTCCATTTCATCATCATTTCCACGACACAACCCGTAGGTCTTATTATTTCTACGGGACTTGCTACCGCTGTCCGAGGATTCATAAAGTCATCGGTTCAGATTCCAACATCCTGCCCCTGGACTCATACCCATCATCCTGGCCGTAGGAAGGTAAGGCCCTTCGCGGTCCTATCTTATGTGTTACCGCTGTCAGAGCCTAGTTAGATCTCCGATTCGGATTCCATCTTAACCCGTGATCACGTTGCAAGTCCATGCTATCCAACCCCGCTCTCTGAGTCGGGAAGGGCCATGGTCCTTACTTATTTACCATAATTCAACCGGCTATCCTCAAAGACTACCGAACACACCCGTAGGCAATCCTATATCTAGGATCAATTTATTATTCAATTTATCTTGGGTATCCCTTAAGGCCTACCCCTAGTATAACTTAAAGTTCATACCTTCCTAGCTTAAAGCATTTCTTAGGACTACTTAAGGCGTAATATTTCACAACCCAACTCTAGGATCAATTCTAGCAATATTCACTTTAATGCCCGACTAGTATATTAATACTAGTCGGATTAATCCCAACCAACAAGGTTTTCCATTCATAGTCATAGAGACAGTTCCACACTGATTTTCCAATCAAAACACAATTTATTCAATAATACAAAATATCACTTTTCACATGCATATAATCCTTATATGAAGTAAAATTATATTTTATCAATAAGCTTCATAATTATCCAACCATCATGTCATTATACCTACAACACATAAACATACATAATTTATTCTAAATATGTATATCATGCACCTTTTCATTATAGATCATAATCTTCTCATTTTTGGCATTATTAATCATTAATAGTCCACGAAAAACATTATTAATTACCTTAGGTAATCTCATGAAATTAACTCACTAATTATAAGCAATATATAGTCAGTCATCCTCACCTTGTGATGTGCTACGATAGTTGCCTTTGTTAAACCCCTCGATAAATCCCCGTTTTTGACCGACTGAAAGTGGAAAATAGGACTGTCGGGCAAAATCCGTCCGGCTTTCACAAAAGCCGCCCGGTGTTCGTCAGTCTGCAATTTCGGGCAGCTCCTATTAAGTGGCGGTTTCCGGCGATTTCGACTCCTATCGATTCACCAACTCTTCTAAGTTAATTAACACCACTTTATATCAATATTCTACACTTTTAAACGTGTAGAACTTCATGTTTAATCCACCATATGATTTCTTAAAAATCATACAACATAAACTAGTTAAAAGAGTAGAAGTTGTGTTCTTTCCTCTCTTCTAGCTCTTTCTTGTTCGGTTTTCTTTCTTGATGCTCCCCCTACACTATGGCTTTGTTGAGATAACTTCCTGGAGCTCTTTCTCTCTTGTGTGGTTCAGATGAATGCCAAGATAGGAGAGCATCTTCATTCATCTAAGTCAACCCATAAAACAAAGGGGTAGGGTCATGGTGGGTGTGGTTTTGTCTCTAAGAGGCTTCCTCCTTCTCTCGTCCGCACCACCCCATCCCTTGATGTCCCATTTGATTAATTAGAGTGTCCAACACATGTAGGGAAAGTCTCAAATGGGTGTAGGAAGTTCCTCCCAATTATTCCCGCTATTTCTGGCAGGTTGGGTCAAAATAACACTTGGGTTGTCCAAACATTTTTCTTAACTTTAGCTGACATTTTATTGGGCTTCTATAATTATTATGATGATCCAACTAATTATTTGGTAGCCCATTCTCAATATAATGGACCCGATAAATAATTTAATTAATCACGCATTAATCAAATATACCAATCTGTTACACGATTTTTATTCGATAGAAAATTCAAATACAAATCGAATTTCAAATCCAAGTACATCCGGGAGCGGTGTCAAAAGCTAGGTCCAGTGGATCTCATTAATTAATTAACCTCGATTAATGGGCTCCGCTTATTAATCTTGTGCAATGGGCTGCTCACGTGTGTGATCTTCAATTGGGCCATTGTTATAGTCCATGGTTCCATCACGAGCCCCCTACTCTGTAAAATAAGTCAGGCTTGATTTTATAAAAGTAACGAGCTTCAAATTTTGAATTTCTCCTCACGAACTGTAACGTTGTCTCACATTTAATGCGGCTGTAATGTGACATGTGCCAGTGATATCACGGTTCCCGATCTTTCCTTGCCAACTTTAGCACTTGAGTGCCTTGGTAGCGGTTCCCAAGTGGTTTGAAAGGCACCCCAATCTTTGCTATAAAAGGCACACTTCCTCTTTGTGCAAACCTTCTGCTAAATTCTCTCCTCGTAAGCCTATAATTCCGGTCATGAAACCTAGACGAAGGGAGACCTCAGCACCGCATGTCTCTTTCATTCTTCAGGTCAGTCTCTATGTCTTCATCTAGTTCTGTACCCCTTCACACTGTTTTTCGTGATGATGAGGGGGCTAGTTCCATTAGCCCCCGGATCCCTGTGGATTCCAATGATGTTGAAACCCATTTCTATTTGTCTGCTAATTTTGCTCGTGGGGTCACAGGGGCCGCAATCTCGGATTTGGAGTTTAATGAGGTGGTAGGCCTCGCCGGTCCTAACGTCCTTTATTCTCGCCCTACTTCGGGGGAAAACATCATGGACCCCCCTCCCCATTAGACACGTCCAAGCTAGTGTCATTAGAGTGGACAGATTTCTTCGGCTTACGGATGACTTGGATAAGAGGGGCGTTACTTTCACTGATCATTGTATTGAGAAGTTGCCGGGGTTTACCAAGAAGAAAGGAGAGGTTTGCTTTGGCGCAAAGTTTACTAATCCTTTCCATGTTTTCTTTGGTTGTTAAACTAGGGATTCCTAATATTTTGGTGAACTAGTTTGTTGAGCTTTTATTTGTTCCTATGTGGTTCTAGGTTCAAAGTATTGACTTTTGATGATTTCTATCTTGATGTTGTGGTATTCCTCCTTTAGGGATATGCACTTTGCTTGTAACATTGACTTGTTATTTCTTTGGGTGTTAATATATACTTACATTTCATCCAAAAAAAGAATTGAAGTAGGTCTTCGATTTTCCCTCCACCCGTCTCTCTTGAATAACTGCCCCATTATGGGGTCATTCTTGTTCAAGTCACCCCTACAAAACACTTGTTCATCATTGGGTTTATAGCCTGATGTCTCTTCTTGCGGATTAGGCGCACCATAGATATGTTCTTAACTTTCATTCACTCCTTGAGATCTAGCACTTCCAATACCAAAGGTTTCTTCTCTGTTTCCTAGAGGACAGGTCACCGTATGTTCGCTGCCAAGTCTTACCCTGATTTTTTAAATGTTGGATGTATAAGTGGGTATGAGTCACCCCTGAGGAGAGCAAACTAGCATCTGTAAACAAGAAGGGAGAGTTGATCTGGAGGTGGACTATGTCAATCCTGACCAAGGGAAATGAGCACGCCGCCAAACTCATTGTTGATAGTGCACCCTTTCTGATGAGCCATTGTGTAGGTGAGGACGGTGTGGTTGTCCTTGAATTTAACTAAGGTTGGCTACGCATGATTTTTCAGTTATTCTTTGTATTTCATAGTTTATTGGTTGAATCTGACCGTTGTTTTGCCTTTCCTAAGGCATATTGTACCCTCGAGCTCCTTGGTTCCGTCCAGGAGAGTACAGACGGGGAGCCATAGGGGGGTCCACCTGGAAAGGATGAGGTGGGACCGCCCACAGGGATGAGGCAGTGACTCTTGCCAAAAGTTGCCGACCTCCGACCTCCCCAAACTAGGGGACCAGGAAGAGGCTGGCATCCCTGCCCATCCCTGTGCCCAGAAAGAAGAATGGGAAGGTTGAAGAGAATAACCCTCCCCACTTAGTTGTCGAAGTGGAGTCTGATTCTGAGGCTCTATCTAGGGAAGGTGGCGGTCAAGAGAATGCTCTGGCACCTTTTCACACTATTCTCCTGACCATGCGATCGAGCTCGGCATCCCTTCTTCACGGCAGCGTGAACCCATTTCTTAGGCTATCACTGTTACTCATCCTGTTGACGTGGGAAGATTGGCGACCTAACTCTGAGGTCACCCTTAAAGCGCGCTATCCATGCAATCTCCAAGGTATTCGTTGTTCCTTTTTTTTGCACTTGGTTTTTGTTGTCATGATCTGTCCTATTAGTTAGTTACATTCCTCCTGATATGTTGTCCCAACTATCCTAGGCCTTCATACTTGCTGCTTCAAGCTTCCGACGTTTAGACCAATAGCAGAAGGAAGCCCAAGGCCTGTCTTTTGAGCACAAGAAGACGGTGGCAGACATCGAGGCTAGGTTGGCCTCGGTGGAAATAGCTAGGGTTGCTGTTGTGAAGGAAGCTGGGTAGGTGCAAAAGAAGCTTAGTGGCTCTGAAGTTGCCCAAAGGGCTACTGAAGAGGCATGGTGGGTGAAGGAGGAATAGCTGAGGAGAAGGCAGAGGAGGTTGGACCTTCTTCTGTCCACACCTATTTGATTTGAGTCTGAAATTGTAATATAATACCACTTTGATGAAATTTTCTTTACAAGAGGCACTATTGTTTCTTTCAAAATGCATGGCTTATTATGACATTTGAGATCAAGGATATTGACCTTTAAAATAGAATAGATGCTACTACGTATAATAGGTTAGGAAGCTAGCTCGATCATAAAATAAAACAAATCTATATATTCAATCCTCTCTCTTTCAATTCTTACTTACGGAACTTCAACTCTAACTCCTAATTTTGTGACGATGGATGTTATTGCAGATAACCGAGTTTGAAGAAGGCGGAGTAGCTATTGGGCTAAGCTGCACACATCTCCTTGCTGATCCCGTTGCCGGCACAATGTTCATGAAAGCATGGGCAGACATTTCCTTGGATGGAAAAATGATGTGTCCGCCTCACTTCCATCCCTTATCGGCATTGAGAAGACCGACATCAGTTAACAAACAAGTTTGTACTTATAATAATAACTCCCTGATTAAACATTACAAATTCTGTACCCAGAAACAAAGGTGTGAAATATATCCGGCCAAACGAACGACGACGATCACTCTGCTCTTCTCGGACGAAATGGTGATCAAGTGCATGCAAATGGCACAAATAGTACCGGAGGCCCACGGTGGGGGCGTGTTTGAGGCACTTGTCGGGCTCTTCTGGACACGCATAAGCAAGGTCAAGAATGTAGGACAATCAATGGACTTGATTGTTGGATTGGACGTCAGGAAAGTGTTGGGTTTGGACAAAGGCTTCTTCGGAAACTGCATGGTTTATAACAAGGTATCTATCTATATACTATCCGCTTAAAATTCAATCAACAACTCACTTAAATAAATTATTGAAAATTGCATAATTGTATATATGTAATACATTTTTTAAAATATTTTTTTAACTTATTTCCTGATTGAATTTTAAGTTGAACTTTGGTGGATATAATCTACACTTGATGGAAAATATGCTCACAAAATTTCATTGAAAAATTCGACCTCGAAACAACTCAAATGAAAAAGACCTAAAATTGTAACTCTTAGGCATACCTTATAAAATCATTGTCATCTTATGTGTGTGTGTGTTAGAGATCAGGTACAAAACCTCATTAATTTACTAACCTATAAACTAATCCCAACCCTCTATTTTTGTGGATGATTCGTGTCTTTCATCTTAATTAAATTGGACAATTGAGGGCTAGTCTTTTAGGTTTATTTTATATTTGGAAATAAAATCACGGTTCCTCACATAACTGATCCCATTCGGTTATTCTCTTTCCTGCACGTTCGACAAGACTTCTCACCTGAATCAAAGCATCACCATCTTCATCTACCTTTCTACATGAGTCTTCATCTACCATAATGATAAGATGCAATATGAACTACTAAAGTCCAAATATAATCCTACTAAAGTTCAATATACGAACTTCTAAAATGCACATGTCATAATCATAAAATGCAACATATGAACTAACAGAATGCACCAATTTGAACTATTAAGTGCAATATATGATCTTCTAAAATGCACATGTCATAATGATACTAAAATGTAACATATGACCTTCTAAAATGAAGAAGCTATGGGGCATAAGATGCAGTATGAACTTTCAAAGTGTAATCAACTTTTTAATAGAGCGCAATACACAAACTTCTAAAATGTACATGTTATAATGATAAATTGCAAGATATCACTATGTTGTTCTAATATAAGTTATGGACACATTATCAATATATAACGCATATCCCGTAACCTTAATATATGCACATTCGGTAATGTTACTATGTACATCCAATAACCTTAATATGCAGTCACTTCTACCTGGGTTGACTTCTTACAAACTTAATGTGTTAGAAGTTCTAATATAAACCATGCAAACGTTATCAATATATAATGCACATTCCATAACCTTAATATTTTAGGCTTAAAAATGAACTGTTAATTAGGAAGTTGTTGGTCCCATTTACACAAGGAACGGTCTGGCGGGTGAATAGACTGTTCTGGTCTTTTTGCTTTTTCATGTTTAAGTACCAGACTTAACAGAATAGTCAGTTCTTAGAAGAACTGATTGGCAACAGATAGGTTTCTTGGTTAGGTAGCCTTCAAAACAGACTAAGGCAAATGCCTTGCTGTTAACTCTTAAGACAAGATTTACTGAATACAAAGTCCAAGTCTTTGAGAGTCAATGAGTGAGAATCTAAAGCAAATAAAGTGCAGTAAGTAAATGACACCAGAGATTTTTATAGTGGTTCAAGGAACAATGTGTTCCTCTAGTCCACTGTTCCACTAAGCTTGTAAGAGATCAAGTTACACAACCTTAGTCCTAGCACTTAAGAAGCACTCCACGTTTTCTTGAAGTCTAGTTGTCACCCGGGATGCTCTTCCTAGCTTCCTGATGACTGATCTCTTTTTACCGAGCTTCTTCGAGACGTCCCTTCTTTTGCAAGAAATGTTTGTATCAAAAGAGTTTCTCCAACGTATCTTCATTACAAAGGATGTGTAGTTGAAGCTTTAGAAGTGTTGAAGAACTGGAGGAACAATTCTCTCTATGTTGGAAGGTTTGGATATTGAGTGTATAATCTGTTAGAAAAAGTGTGTTAAAATTGCATTAAATGGTCATTTTGGGGCAATTATTTGAGTGGGGTCCACTTCCAATTTGGGTCAGCTCAAAGTGGTTTCGGATTGTCTTGCTAAGGGCTACAATTCGATATAAGGTACACTCAAAACAGATAATGGGTGAATGAGAAATCACTTTTCGAAATTTACCCGTTGGAATGGAGAACACTAGGAAAAGGTGGGTTTTAGTGTGGATTTTTTGCCACACCGAAAATCACAAGGGAATTTGAACCCTTTATAAAGGGAACCCCCCCCCTAAGGAGTTAAGCTTCCTAAAGGTAAAGGCTCTCTCACGCGCGCAGGGGGGTGCGAATCAAATCCCGAAACTGAAGAACAAAAAGCGTGACTTGCGTGTGCGGGCGACCTGCACACACGAATGCCGTCCGAAAATCTATCTTCTAAACATAACGTTAACATTGATGTCCAACGTTCACAAGCCTTAAACAGCCATTAACACACCATAATCCACCCCTATAAAAGGCTAGCCGGTGCTTTGCAAACACACAAGCTTCATACACTTCGTACACATATTTTCAGAGCTAAAACCACCTCAAGCATTCCCGGGGTGCAACGCTCCTACCACCCCGGGAGGCAACAAATACGTTTTAAGGAAATCGTGCGTAGCACGAGCTTTAACTTATTCTGCTTCATCTCATTTCTTGTTTTTCTTTTTCCTTTAAGTCATTTTATTAATTAATTTTATTAATTAATTTTCTTTGTTTTTCGAAACACACCCAACAAACTTAAAACGTATTCGGTGATTTTTCTACTACAGTAAACAATCTTAAACTTGTAGTTTGTCACCTTGGTGAACGAACTTGTTTTTTGTGTTTTCGAATAACGTAAGAAACGGAAAATAACTTCTCAAGAAAATGAAAATGTTGTTGGGCAGAATGCTTTGAACGGTTTGAACGATAATCACTCTGAAAGCGGAGCTCCGGTGAACAATAGTTCACAATGCGGTGCATCTGCTTTGGTTAACCAAAGGGCTATCCCTATGGTGACCGTGCCGAGCAAGTCTGTGGAGAAACCCGAAAAATTTAATGGGTTAAACTTCAAGAGGTGGCAGCAAAAGAGGACGCTCCGGTTGTAACCGGGGGTGAGGTGGATGCACAATCTTTCAATGCGGTTGAAGCATGGAAGCATTCTGACTTCCTTTGCCGAAACTACGTGTTGAACGGGCTGCATGATGCTTTGTACGATGTGTATAGCAATTTAGCTACGGCTAAGGAGCTATGGAATGCTTTGGACCACAAATATAAGACCAAGGATGTCGGTGCAAAGAAATTTGTTGTCGGTCGATTCCTTGAGTTTAAAATGGTGGATTCGAAGACGGTCTTGAGTCAAGTTGAAGAAATGCAAATGATATTCAACGAAATTCGAGATGAAGGAATGACAGTTAGTGAGTCTTTCCAAGTGGCGTCAATTATACATTTGTTGCCGCCGGCTTGAAAGGATTTCAAGAACTACCTTAAGCATAAGCGAAAGGAAATGAACTTGGAGCAGTTGATCCTCCGTCTGCGGATTGAAGAGGATAATCGGAAGAACGATGGGAAACTCCCAATCGTTAACGGTGCCAAGGCCAACGTGGTGGAGCATGAAAAAGGCTCCAAAAATAAAAAATAATGGGAAGAGCAAGCTCGGTCCCAAGGGAGGCGTTTCCAAACCCAAATTTAATGGAAAATTTTTCAATTGCAACGAAAATGGACACAAGTCCTTGGATTGCAATGCACCAAGGAAAAAGAAAGACTCTCAAGTCAACATGGTGCAAGGTGGGCAAAAGGATGAAGACATTATTCTTGCGGCCGTGGTGACCGAGGTCAACCTCGTTGGATCCAATTCCAAGGAGTGGTTCGTGGACACTGGTGCAACCCGGCATATTTGCTCTAACCGCGAGGTATTCACAACCTTTGAGCCATCAAATGGTGAGAAGGTGTGGATGGGGAATTCTGCTCATTCCGAGGTTGAAGGCGTGGGCAAAGTGGTCCTGAAGATGACTTCGGGCAAGGAGCTGACTCTCAACAATGTGTTGTACGTCCCGGAGATACGCAAAAACCTGATCTCGGGCTCTTTGTTGAACAAGCATGGCTTCCGCATGGTCTTTGAGTCGGACAAACTAGTTTTGTCTAAATCGGGAATGTATGTGGGGAAGGGGTATGCAGTTGATGGGCTGTTTAAGGTCAATGTAATGACTAATAATAATAATAATAATAATAATAATAATAATAATAATAATAAAATCTCTTCTGCTTACTTGCTTGAGTCTTCCAATGTGTGGCATGGTAGACTAGGACATGTTAATTTTAATTCTATACGTAGATTAATTAACATGGAACACATTCCTAAATTCACAATTGATGTGAATCACAAATGTGAAGTTTGTGTAGAGGCAAAGCTAACGAAAACGTCTTTCAAATCGATGGAAAGAAAAACGGAATCACTTGAATTAATTCATATTGACGTTTGTGATTTTAAATCAATACAAACACGTGGCGGTAATAAATATTTTATTACTTTTATCGATGATAGCACTCGCTATAACTATGTTTATTTATTAAAAAATAAACACGAAGCAATCGATAAATTCATTCTTTATAAGAATGAAGTGGAAAACCAACTTAATCGACAGATTAAAACGGTTAGAAGTGATCGATGTGGTGAGTATGAAGCACCAATTAGAGAATTTTGCGCGAGTGTGGGTATAGTACATGAACATACCACACCCTATTCACCTCAATCAAATGGTGTTGCCGAACGAAAGAATCACACATCGAAAGATATGACGAATGCGATGCTAGTAATTTCGGGCCTACCACAAAATATGTGGGGCGAAGCAGTCTTGTCAAGCAATTACCTTTTAAATAAGGTTCCCCAGAAAAAGTATGACAAAACTCCATACGAGTTGTTGAAAGGTAGAAGGCCTTCCTATCAATATTTAAAAGTGTGGGGGTGTCTTGCAAAACTGCTTGTACGAACACCTAAGAAAATAAAAATAGGTCCAAAAACGGTGGATTGTATTTTTATTGGATATGCACAAAATAGTAGTGCTTATCGGTTTTTAGTGTACGATTCAAATAATCCGGATTTACATAAAAACACAATAATTGAATCAAGGAATGCATCATTCTTTGAAGACGTATTTCCATGCAAGTCCAACGAAGGACCAAGCATGTCAAAAC